ACCCGTTTACAAATATCTTTAGCCATAGCAAGTTTGCCGAGTTACTTACATTGTGCAACCATGCTCCACTATTATTCCGCAACATTGAAGAGCCGAACAAAAAAAGAGTAGACCAATCTTATTTTTGGTCAACTTTCAGAGATCCAACGGCATCCAATTCAAGGCAGACTTATGCATCTGAATAGTGGAATGAACACTAGGCCAAGTGGTGAATCCAACGCTGCAAAAATGAGGCCAATCAGACTTCAAACGAGGGCGATACAAGGGCTCAAAGTTAGGAGTTTGAATTGAAGATTCTGCATTTCATGACCTGTAGCACGAAGAATTCGGCTTTGCACCATTTGGGCCACTATTAATTCATATTATTCGCCAATATCACCCACAATTCGGCAACAGAATTCATCGGCATTATGAACGCTGCATGCATATGATCAACTCGACTTATTCGGTAATTTTCATTCTCTGCATATTATAATTCTGCTTTGACGACATTTATTCCGCCTATTATCAACAAAGCTTGGACAACTTATCCGGCGATTTTAGTTCTCTGCATATTATAATTCGGCTTCGACAACATTTATTCCGCCTATTATCAACAAAGCTTGCACAACTTATCCGGCGATTTTAGTTCTCTGCATATTATAATTTGGCTTCGACAATATTTATTCGGCCTATTATCAACAAAGTTTGCGCAACTTATCCAGCAATTTTAGTTCTCTGCATATTATAACTCGGCTTCGACAACATTTATTCGGCCTATTATCAACAGTTTCGACATCCGACGTATTAGCAACTACAAAGCTATACAATCTTGCTCGGCACTACTCTCTCGGCATAACACTAGCAGATTCGTGTCAACTCAAAGAGTCCAAACCCACTAACCCGAGGAGCCAAGAACTAACCAAAGTTCGCCGGTAGTTGCGAAACGGACCAAATTTTCAAAAAACTAAAATTTTCATAATCGTCAAAATCAAGTTTTGGCCATACTAGTGTGAAGTACACATTAAGCCGAGTCCAACGCAACAAACCGCGTCAAAATCGGAGCTAAAACGAAGTCGTATGGGCTAGGCGAAATTTGCCCAGAAATTCACCTATTTTGTCGAAGAGAACGACCAGAAGTTGGCAAACAAAGAAATTATTGTGTGCATTGAGGCTAAGTTACATCATGTCATAGCCAAACAATCAAGTTCAAATCTATAATGAGCCAAATATATAGACAAAGATTTAAGGTGGCAAAGTGGTTAAGTGTTCAACATTTTTTACAAAGACATGAGTTCAAATCTTGTAGGCAATTGTGCTGCAAGCAATCAAGCCAAGCTGTTACATGCAGAATAAGTCAGAAAAATTATCCAGTGCTTTGCGGAGCCTAATTCTCTCTCGATCTGAGCCGTCGGATCCATTTTATCTATAAATTACGCCATCCGAAGTCCGATTCCAGCAATCGAATAGCCGTTTCCAACTATTTAGAGCCTTCTGAACACATCCGTACGGTCTGATTTTACAAATTCCATACCAAACATTCATAGATGTTATATGCAATGCCACATATCGCAGCTAAAAACAAAATTTTTGCCGTCATACCTGGAGAACCTGGAGTTTGCTTAACGCCGAATTCACCAACTACATCTTATTTGGCGACTCTCTGCCTATCTCCCAGCTCAACTTATTTGTCACCAAAGGATGAATTCCTTCCGAATAACAACTTTCACTCCACAGCATTAGACATTCTCGGAACAACAACAATTGTTAATTTGTCTACCTCTTCGGCAAAAATCTCATAATTTCTCGAAAACACGGGGGCACGGAATCCATTTCAAATTTTTATTGGCCTACTCGGCAATTTTGCTCCACGTCCATTTTGTTCCTTCCGAATAACAAATCTTATTCAAAAGCAATAGGGCAAATATACGTTGGACAAGAAACTCAACTTTAATAAATTGGCAACCATTGCCAACCAAGTTCTTAGCAAATCCAACTTCGAATGGATGCTGACACACCGTGAAGCTAAGAGAAATCGCCGACCAAAAGATCGGCATAATGACTAACCCGAGTATAGTTGACCAACGTTTCAGCAAAATCACATTATATATGAAATGGACACCGATGTTTTGACACTAGTTACTCGGCAGTGCATCAACTTTACTCGCAACATTGGCCACAGTATTCGGCAACTTTATTTGCCTAACAACATTATTCGGAAAAATAATTGCCCACTGGGACATCTTAGTCAAATTCCCGCTTTCCAATTTGGGCACATCAGCCAATCATCATCTCGGCACCTCTGATATGCATGCATACTTGGCCAACTTGGTACAAACACTACAACATTTACCTGAGTTACACGTTCCCGCTCCTTTTCACACCACTCCAAGCAAGCGCCAGTTTTTGGGCAATACATTACACACTTGGCAGTCGGCAGTTTGCATATTTTTGCGTGCTATCATTTTACCAAAGCCGAATCTTCTCTACAACATAGGGCAATGGGAATCTACATTCCTTCCGACTAACACCTGTCATTCGAAAGCAATGGGGCAAGTCTACCTTGGACTAAACGCAAACCGAGCAACTCGGCAATTAAATAGTTGGCCCAATATCTACTTGGCAATTCCCTACAAGCGGAGCAATATTATTGGTGATTAACACGTCTACCTAATTCAGTACAGGCCATCACTGACACGAGATGCATTATTCAAAATCCTTGCAATATTGGCACTCGGTCGCCACTTAAAATCAGTAAAAGTCTCCGAATACAGCGCAATCTTCACACTCGGCACAGAGCACCATCAGCAAAGGCCTACACCTACGCCCGAAGGTTAGAATACCACGGCCTACACTTACGCCCAGAGGTTAGAATACCGCGGCCTACACCCATGCCCGGGGGTTATAATACTGCAAGTTTACACCCTTACCCGGGAGTTATAATACCGCAGGTCTACACCCTCACCCGGGGGTAATAATACCGTGGTCTATTTTTTAGCTGATATATCTACCTTATTTAATCTGTCTTATTTGGTTCAGGCAATCATTTCCGTGCCAACAATGCTACAGACCACTAAATTTCTACCACTAACACCACCACTAATGATGTGGCAAGTAAAAAAAAAAACAAAAACTACGACACAAAACACATGTGGCAGTGGGTGGGACCCACTACCACATCCCTAGTGCAACCACTAATTAGTGGTCTACATCATTTTTCTTTCCGTGCTCGGCATGTAGAAATATTTCTAGCTCGACATGAAAGTCCAAATTTGGAAGCAATCTTTGCACTCAACAATATACTACACCCTTGCCCGGGGTTATAATACTGCGGCGTATACCCTTACCCGGGGGTTATAATACAGTGGCCGATCTTTATAGAGATAGTATTACTCACTGGGCTTTAGCTCATCTCTCTCCTCTATAAACATATATTTGTACATACATACATGCATTCATCCAGCCATTCATTCATTTATGTTATTCACTTATCACATGTATTCTTTGTCAAAGGACCTAACATCTATTTGAACAGTATAACTCGGCAATAAAAACTCTCATTCCGTCTACCGAAGACAATGAAAGTTTTGGGACAATTGTGGGAGCCAGAAAATAATATATATCAACTTATTGGGCTAACCCAAACAAGGCTTGCCAAAAGCCCAAACTATTGGGCTTATTCGGCCCACCCCTGTCTATAAAAGGAAGGGACCTCATAACATACAGGTATGATCTCTCTCTGCTCCAGGGAGCACACAAACACACTTTACTATTCTTGATTCTTCATTCGCAGATTCTAACTTCATCATCGGAGTACTCCCAGTCGGCAACCCCGGTTGGGTGGCACCAACTATGTTCATCATTGCAGATCTACAGGGGTGAAGCTCTTCTTTTCGTTGGATCTCTATAACATCTATGTGAGAGGATATTTCATGGTCTCACATTTTTATTCTATATTTGAAAAGTAAGCATCAATCCATGTATTGAATTTCCTTTCTATGGGTAAGGATAATTATCTATAGTATTTTCTTATTTATCTTCTACAATAAATACGTGTTTGCCTTTATCTAGTATTTTATGCTATATTTTGTTTATAATTTCTAATTGATTATTTTTAAGTCTTTCGCTAAATTATTTTTATTCCTTAATTAATGTATTATTTTGTTCTGTTACTATTTGTAAAGAAGTATTATTATTAAAATTATCTAATTCTACTTTTTCAGGATATCTAATATTCATATAATTTATTGGCAACATTGAAAAAACCAGGCTCTAATATTAATTTAAACACACAATGAAATAAAATACATTTTAAAGACAAAATAAAAATTTAAAAGATTTTTCTATAATAAAATCTTAATTGAAGAGGGTCTTGTACTAATTTATAAAAAGTATGAGCATATATTTTATTTTTGTAATCCTTTTAGGGACTAAATAAGTTTGAATTAAATATTTTACGGACTTAATAGATTCAATCAATAATTTAGAGACTAAATAGATTTTGATTTATATATTTTATGGACGAAATATATTCAATCGGTAGTTCAGAAACTAAATAGATAATTTGGCAATAATTTAAAGGTAAAAAGTGTAATAAACCCTTTTTTATTTGATTTTAACCATTACCAATCAATAATTGAAGATTTTCTTTATTCAAGCTTAATGATTACAAATGATTTTTTAGTTATTACATATAAAATTTAATTTTTTGTACAGAAAAAAATATCCATTATAATTGTTTGGGTAAATTACACTTACCACCTCTGAGGTTTCTGACAAATACAGGGACTTTCCCGATAGTTTCAATAATTACAGTAATCTCTCTTACTTTACCTGACATTGTACAGATTCCCCCAATCCATCAATTATACATAAACGACGTTACTTGTGTATACAAAATGACCATATTACCCTTTTATTTGAGCATGAAAAGATGAAAATACCTTTTGATTATAGTATTCAACTTTGTTTTTAATTTTAATTTTTATATTTTGTTCTCTCTCATCTCATCTCATCTCATCTCATCCCCCAATCCCAACTTCACTCTGCTTTCGAATTGCAACAGTAGTGTAATCGGAATTATCTAAATCACTCTCATTGTTCCTAGGCACTATCTGAAGCTCCACCGAACCAGAATAGAAAAACCCACCAACCACAGTTGGCCGAGCCTCGTACACCAATGCCGGAAGCTCCTCATCCCGGCTCGAAGCCAATTCAACCAAGATCTTCAAAAGTCCTCCAGGAGCCAAAACCACAACCAAATCATACAAAGAAAGTGCAATTAGCACAGCCCAAGTGGTCCATTCAGGCAAATTGGTAAACCAAGCCGCCACAATAATCCCCAAAGCAACCATAAACCCTTGTTTCAAGAAAATGGGTACAGCACGAGAGAACACCCACAATAGTGAAATTGAGAAGTAAGACAAAACAAGTATGGAATCGATTAGGATTGAGAAATGTTGGATAATGGAGTGGAAGATTGAGCAACCCATTGCGATGAGGACGAAGAAGGTAGAGAAGCGAATGTAGTTCTTGAGGAAATTGGTGAAATTATAGTAGTAGAGGAGGACGGGGAGGAAAGTGATGATGGAGATGATGATGACGAAGACGAAGACGAGGGCATTGAGGAGAGTGCCATCGAGTGTCTGGGTGGCAGAATCGGAGGGGGTTTCGAGGTAGACAAGATTGGCAGCGGTGCGGATGAGTGCGGAAGAGGAGGAAAAGAGGGAGTAGACTAGGAGAACAACTAAGAGCATGCAAATTGAAACTGGGGCCATGACTCCGATGATTTCAAGTCCAGTGGATTCGAGAATGCTTCCATCCATTGGAGGGTTTTTGGTTGGGGAATTTAGTCGAATGGGTAATGTGAAGGTTTTGGGGGGTGAGGGTTAAGGATTGGGGGTGGGAAGGGAGGAGAGAGAGGGCAATTTAGGAGACATTTTTGAAGATTTAAGAGAGAGAGAGAGAGAGAGAGAGAGAGAGAGAGAGAGATGGTAATGGAGTTAGCAACCACAAAATGAAGTCAAAGGAAACTACCCACTATTTTCTCAGAAAATACACTGTTCTGGACATAGATATGGTTGAGGACACTTGAGGGCATTATGGACATTTTAGTGTTTGGCTTTGATGACATCAGTTTTTTCTGTGAAAATTATTCAAACTAAAGGGGAAGTTCTTGTATTTGTCAAAAAACTCAAGGGAGGTGAATGTAATTTACCCTAATTGTTTTCAAAAGTCACGTTTTACATATGAAAAAAATAATATTCATAAAAGTGATTCACAGTTAATCTTTTTTTAGATTTCAAAATTGGGGTATAGTTGTCCTGTTACTAAATTAATTGTAGATTTTCAAAAAGATGATTTTATTTACACACCATTAATACTCTCAACATACACTAATAATAGATTAAATTTATATTTTAATAATATCCTCTAATGAAATGACTATTAAGGACAACATGAGATGTATTCTACCCATGCAAAGATTTCTTATTTAAAAATACAAAATATTCTTCACACACCAGCATTCCTATAGGGTTTAGTGTTTTAACATATAAATATTGTATTTCTTTATCATCTTGACCATTAACATACACTTATGATATCATTCATTATCAATTAGCTCATTTCGTTCTTTTCTACATTATACTTATTTTTCAAACTCATTATTGACTTTCAAGATTTAGAATTTAAAAATACTAAAATCAACTAGCTTTGAAGATTTGCACACCATGGATGACACTAAGATGTTTGGGTTCGATATAAACATTAAAAACATTGATTTGAATATTGAAAGTGTTAGTTTATGACTTAATTTTTTAATTTTTGATTTATCTCATTCATATGTTAGGAATATGAATTTGTTCGTCATGTTCAGATAATCAGAGTTGAATTTTACACAATGTTCGATTATTTATATTTGAATAAAACAATTTTGTTCAAATTATTAAATTGACCAAATATTAAATGTTCATATATAAAATTTAAAAAATTGAACATTTTAAATTAGTTCGTTTAAGATAAATTAAATTTTTATTCATTATTCAAATACAAATTTGTGAACACATTATATTTGTTCAACTCTATATTTATGAACATGACTAATTTGATAAATTTGAAATGACGACGAGAAACGAGGGTTCAAGACCGACAATGAAGATCAACACCGGCATAGATGGAGGCCGAATGAAAAACTTTGCCGGTGATCTGAAGACGACTAAATAAAACATTACGAGAGTTTAATACTAACTATGTAGAACAACACTAGCGAAGATAGAGGCCGAATGAAACTTCTGCCGGCAATGGAGATTACGACTGACAAATATGGTCTCTGTTGGTTTATGTTATGAAGATTGTGAGATTTTTGTTATGTATAGTGATGAAGATAAAGAGTTTTTAGTGTGTGTAATGATGTGTACTCAAATAGTTAGTGTTATGTTAATATAGGGTTAGTAAAGTTGAGGTGTGAATTACGATATTTTTAAATCCTAAAAATTATTTTTTGTGTATAGAAAGTAATGGTGTGTACTGAGAGTATTAGTAGTGTGTAAATCGAATTCCCCTTTTCAAAAATATAACTTTGTAGCCATTTATGTTAACTGTTTCATATAAAAAATAAGGGTAAATTACACTAACACTCCTTGATGTTTCTATTTAATACAAATTCTCCCCTTAAGTTTGAAAAATTATACTTTTTCCCATGTCAGATTATAATGACATATTTGCCCCTTAGCTTTTGTACATATAAAATAATAAAATAATACTGATATTTTATTCATGTCATTTCAAGAGAAATAACAATCATCTGTTTTTAGTTTAATTCACATCAAAAAATGAATTTTTATATTTTTCAAATTATTTTATTTTTACAGAATTTTTTTTTATAATATTTTAAACAATTCTTTTAGTTTTTAGATACACCTAATCTACATATACTTAAGAAGTATAATATTTTGTGTTTTTTTTTTAAATTGACCAAATACAAAAAAAAAATACAAAAATTCAGTGATTCTATAATAAAATGTGCATGACGATATTTGGTAATACTGTAATAAATGTGAGTGAATAGACGAGAAAGAAAATAATTGTGGAAATAAAAATGAAAATTTTCTATTTATATATAAAAATTTATACAAAAAATATCATAAACATATTTAATGATGAAAAGTTATAGAATGTAGTCATAATGATAGAAAGAAGAAATAGTAGGAAAAGTGACAAAATGGTCATTTAGAAAATTTTAGGGCATGACATCAGCAATTCATGGAGCAATTTGTAATGAGATTAAAAATATTAGGGAGACAAATGTAATTTTTCAAATGTGAGGAAGGGTCTGTATTAAACAGAAACCTCAGTGGGTGTCAGTATAATTTACCCTAAAAATAAAGTAAAAGTTAGTAGCTAATGCATTCTTAACAAGTATATTAAGAGCATCTTCGACACTAATAAGCATTTTATCTAACTAAACATTATTATAAAATATACATTTTATTTTACCTATCAACTTTTTCATGATTTTACTCTAACCATACTATTTATTTTAACTATTCATCTAAATAGTATTAACTTTAAAAAATATCACATCAGTAACAAAGATAGAGAAAAATGATCACAATGATTTGAAAGCTAGTTACATATATATTGTGAATACGAGTTGAGTAAAAATGCCTAGTGCATTGGAGTTGAAAAAAGTGACTTATACTAGACATTTTGACAAACAAACATCATATGCCTAATAAATTAGTGATACTCTAAGGACACTTGTTAATAAAATCCATAAATAAATGTGGAATTGATTTGAAATGATTTTGAGAATACAGATAAATTTTAAATAGTTTTGGAAAAATTTTAAACAAATCACCTTTCAATTTTTGACTCTCAAAAACTATTTTTAAAATCCAAACCAAGCAGGTCATGGATCATTAAATATGCAATCATTTCAATATTAATTCATTAATAAAATTTAAATAATATCACGAGATTTTACCTATTAAAGAAAATTATGTGAACCCTCAAAAGTTTAAACGAAACATTTCCAACAAGAAATTTTCGTTTTCAACCCATGTGAAAAGAACAAATTTGAAAACAATTCACCTTCAACAAAACTTACAAAGACACACACACACACAAACAAAACAAAAAACAAAAAAATCAGTGTGGGGATATATTTTCTGAGTACCATCACGTGGCCAAGGTGACGCCGACGTGTCAGCTGAGGTGCCACGTGTCCTGGTCATGACGCCAAGGTTATCTCAGCTAGGCCGAGGTTACCTCCGAAGATATCGGAATCCGAGATAAGCAGATAAGGCACAAGAGTCCTAAAATGAGGAAGGACTTCAGCATGGATAAGGATAACACTCTTAGGGAGTTTATCTTTATCTCTTGGAGAGTCTAGGATAAGCACTGAGCAGAAGTCCATTGAAGCTAGGCTTCTATGGGGACTAGGATTGAATTAACTATAAAAGAGAGGCACCCCCGATGGGTCTAAGGTACGCAATTTATATTCTAAATAGTGAGATTAGCACTATTGATTATCTTTGAGAGATATACTGACTTGATCATCGGAGTGCCCCCGGGTGGACGAACCACCGCCGGAATCTTCTCTTTCTGTTGCAGGTCGGTTAGGTGCCATCTATTCTGCCAGTGCTCTCCAGCTGAATACTGAGTTTGGCAGTGTGGTCAGAAATTCACTCACACAATTTGGCGGCGTCTGTGGAAAAGAAAAAAGAATAGATGGCCAGTGACGGACAAAAGGATAAGGTTGGGGACAAAATCCCTACTGGGAGTGGTAAACACGTTGACCCAAACGTGGAGGAAGATGGTCGCATTGAGGAGACTCAGAACCAGAATCATGGCAAGAAAGACGTCGGCCAGGATGGCGACGTGCCAAAGAAACCAGATCGAAGCGGATACTACAACGAGGACGACCTCCAAGTATGAAAGGATAGATGCCTGCGGAGGGACGAAGAGGTGAAAGAGATGGCAAACAAGTTGGCAGACCTACAATTAGTCTTCAATTTTATGATGCAAAATAACGTCATGCAGCCACCATTCCCGCTGCAAGACACACCGATTCCAGTAGCTGATTCCAGAAGGGAGGGCAGAAACCAGTCCCAATAGAAGCAGACCCAGAGAACATCGACATGTTCAAAGGCAAAAGCTGTGCTTCGACACAACTCATGGAGAAAGGTCGAAAATGGCCCACAACGAAGCTGAGAGTAGTATGCCGAAAAAACTGAAGTCGGGAGATAACCGAGCTCCTGGGAAGAGCAAGGAAGACTTGAGAGATTACCTCAAGAGGAAACAACAAAATGCCGATGCCGAGGTAACTTCACCTGTTAAGCCGAGAACACCATTCTCGGTGGAATTGGAAAAATTTGAAGCTCCAAAGAGATTCAGTATGCCGAGGTTCCAAATATACGATGGTAAGTCGGACCCCAACTTCCACGTTATATTATACCTGAACTCAATGGCATTGTAAAGTGGGAACGAGCCGTTGCTCTGTAAAGTGTTCCCCTCATCCTTCAGGGAGATTGCATCGGATTGGTTTCACAAACTGCCAAAGGGAAGTGTGAAGACCTGGGAAGGCCTGGCCGAGATATTTGTGGCTAGGTTCGTAACAAACAAGCTACAGCCATTAAGGGTGGACACATTGATGGCTTTAAGAATCAGTAAGGATGAAGGCCTTAGGGCCTATGCAAAAAGGTACTATGAGGTTATAGTGATCCCGGTTGTTCCTTTACTGTTCTGTTGTATTCCGGACTCGATTCCGTGGAGTTGGTAGTTGTATCTATCTTGTTGTCGTCCTTTAATTCTATTTGTTTGA